TGTGCTGCTGAGTTTGGACAACAACCCAATGCGCGCTGTGCCAGACCTGAGCATGACTCCTGCACTGGAGACGTTTCGCATGAGGAACCATCGCATCACGCACATCGACCTGGCACCGCTCCTCGCTCTGCCCCGTTTGGGCGTTCTGGAGATTGGCGCTTCCCTGCAGGCACAGGCTAAAGCGGTGTTGCCGGCCAACAGCAACATTGCCAACGTTGCGCCCCTTTCCACCCTTGGCCTGGAGAATGTGGACATCAGCGCCATCGTTTCGTCACTTGGGCAATTGGCATCGCTGAGCCTAGATGCCCTGCACGCGGGCTGGCCCGGCGCCACCAGCGACACGCTTCCCATGAGTGCCCTGTGCGCCGTGCTTGCAAGCAACGTGCGGGAGCTCCGTATCGCCAACACGGACCTCAGCACGATTGACCTGTGCCCTGACAAGGCATTTGACGTGCTTCTTCTCACGGACAACAGGCATCTCGAATCCGTTACGGTTCACGACCCACTGCGTGAGCTCAACGTGTCAGGCTGCACTCGATTGACCTCCATCGACGCACCTCCCATCGACATTCTCGACATCAGCAGCACCAACTTGCCGCTTACGGGTGCACTGTGCACGCGGTGGGGGCGACGTGTTCTCTTCGCCCGCAACTTGGGCGGAGTCGTCGACATTCGCGATGCCATCCTGAGCATGCGCAACTGTCTTGAGCATGTGGACGTGTTGGATTTCTCGGGCAACGCGTGGGTCAGCGACGTGGACGAGATGAACCGCATCACAGAGCGAACAATTGCGCTGTCGACGAGCGAATTTGCAACTGCGGACTTTGGTGAGATTGCCAATCGGCCCATGCCTCCGATTCTCCAGCTGACGGATGCCCCCATTGAATGCGCGCTTGAACTGTCAAATCAGGACTTGCGGCCATTGCGCAATCCGATTGTTGTCTCTGCGGAGCTGGTGTTTTCGTTTCATTGCACGTGCGCCCGTGGCTTTCGGATGACGTCGGGTGGGCGGTGCGTGTTCAACGAGCCCAACATCTCCACGATTGTTGCCGCGTCTGTCATATCTGGCCTGGCATTTGGCCTGCTCATGGCGTGGCTGTCACGCCGCTACCGTGGGCTCACCAAGCGCATCGGCCTACAGGAGCAGCTGCTGGTGGAGAGGGACGAGGAGGTGATGGCGCTGAAGAAGGCGTGGGAGATTGAGTACGATGAGCTGAGGCTTGTTGAGCGTGTGGCTGCAGGTGCGTTTGGCGTGGTGTTCAAGGCAGAGTGGGACACAGTCACAGTGGCAGTGAAGGTGCTGCAGCAAAGTGTGATGATGTTTGACGAGAGCACGGTGCAGGAGTTTGAGAAGGAGGTGGAGTTCCTGCAGCGGACACGGCACCCGAATGTGGTGCGGTTCTTTGGCGCGGGCACAGACCCCAACGGCAGCCCGTTCCTGGTGCTGGAGTTTGTGGCCATGGGGTCGCTCAAGGACTTGTTGGGCAAGGACATGGAGGAAGTGTTGATGGAAGTGAGGAGCAGGAAGGTCGAGGAAAGCAGCAACGGCAGTGTCAGGGATGATGTGAATCGTGTGTGGGAACTGAAGCTGCGACTGCTGCGGGATGTTGCCAGTGGCATGGCCTTCATCCACAGTCTGGACCAGATGCACCGGTGCGTTTGTGTGTGTGTGTGTGTGTGTGTGTAGGTGTGCGTGTGTGTTGCGTATGTTGTGTGTGTTTGTGTTTGTGTGTGTGCGCGTGTGCGCGCATGTGTGTGTGTGCGTGTTTGTGTGTGTTTGCATGCATGCAGGCACGTGCTCTCGCTCATCGCCCATCCTAGCCTCATCCCTCTCATCAACACCACCCAAACAGAGACCTGAAGAGCGGAAACGTGCTGGTGTCATCGTCGCTTCGCGCCAAGATTACGGATTTCGGATCCATTCGCCAGTGCTTCACGCGTGGTGGCAGGGCCCACGGCAGCCGCTACACTCGCCTCTCCTCCAGCCATGATGTTGATGACCCCCAATACTCGCAGCAGGCTGGGCTGCAGACAATGACGAGCATGACGCTGACGGCTGGTGTGGGCACACCGCTGTACATGGCACCAGAAGCATTGACGGGCGACAAGTACAGCTTCGAGGCCGACATCTTCAGCTTTGGCGTGCTGATGTGGGAGGTGGCAACGCAGCGTGTGCCGGACTTGCTCGAACAAGAGAAGGGGAGCGACTTTCGCGGTCCCATGCTGGCGACGCTCAGCAACTTGCTGCAGGATGGGAAACGCTTGCGATTTGATGACAGCGAACAAGATGGTGAGAAGCTTCTGGTGTGTGCGTGTGTTTTTGTGTGTGTGTGTGTGTGTGTGTGTGTGTGAGTGCATGTGTGCGCGTTTAGATTGCGAGACCACGTGTCTATCTCTCTCTCTCTCTCTCTCTCTCCGTCTCTGTCTCACACACAAAAACACGCATACCACCACACACTTTCCGATAGCCATCCCCGAGTGGTTCCAGTCGCTGACGTAC